ATAGAAACTAGGAAAATATCGGATGAAACGACGGCGTTTAACATTTAGACATAACCCTAATATCTAACCCAACGAAATCTTCGCCGTTCTCTATCCCTCTCAACTGTCTAAATCTTCTTCTTCCTCACTCACAGCCCTCTCTGCTCATTTCAAGACCCATCGACTGAAGCTTGGCCATCAATCTCCAATGGCCTTTTCACTCTAAACCTATGCTAACTCCTACAGCCTAAGCTAACCCTCACGTATCTATTCTCTTCTTTCTCACCGAACGGCGCTCGACCGAGAGCCCTAAAGGCTCGCTCTACGCCGGCCACCACAGATCGGTGGCCGTTAAACCCTCGACTACTTTCCCAAACCAACGACAAAACAAATCCCCTCACCTAACACCCAACACCTACGCTCTATGACCTCGATTGACTTCCAAAGCAACTGATGGAACCACTGAACCAAAGCCAACAAGGACTCTAAGTTATATTCTAGCACTCAAATCGGGCCCTGGATCGAGCATGTGAGGGTCAGAATACCCGATGATCCCACTGATTCCGCACAACCCAGGTAAATATTTCTATTCTTATGCCTTACCTATTTGGAGTACACATGCACACACATAACAGAAGTAAAAACGCAGAGAAAAACATGAAGATGAGAAATGGAGAATACCCTTGATAAGTCTTTGATTGCTTCAAACTTTCAATGTTTTACAAATTTGTTGTTCTGTTCTCTCCAAAAACCGAAATGGGAGCCGTTTTTCTCCTTTTTTTTTTCACTGTCTTTTTTTTTCTCCCCCGTCTGTGTTTTTTGTTGTGTGTCTACGTGAAGTATGAAAGGTCTCTCCTCCGTGTTGGTTTCCCGTAGTTAAAAAACTGACCTCCCTCTTTCTTTTAGTGGTTAAATGTCCCACGTTTTCAGTGGTTAATTTGCATTAAAACTGACCCTTCCCCACTTTGTTTTGGTTAACTCCCAATACCCCCACTCTCTACAACCGTTCCCTCTAATTTTTTGGTTTCTAAACTACCCAGACAAATTAAGCATCTACAGGGTCAAATTATGGTTTTAATCCCTCTATTATATTCAATCTTGGACCATTTGGATACAGCAAATTTTGTCAACATAACCAGATCACACAACAGTAATTGGCTTTACCAAGCTTAAGCCGTTTTCGACTATAAAAATTATTCATGCTGTCGAGTTAATCACTGATTTCTCAGCTTCAAAAATTTTCAACGAAGACGAGAAAAAATGTGCATCTAGAATCGCCTTAATTCAATCATGCAAACGATGATAAATGGCACACATCCATAAAACTCCATTAAATGCCTTCCACTAAATGGTCATCCCTAGGGGTAGTAACCGGTGAAAGTAAAACCCCTTCCCACTATCTCACCAGCACAAAACCATGCAAAGCATTCCAGTCCGAACAACGCAGCAATAGATGCATCTTCAACCTTCAGTTCTGACCTGTTCTTCCACAGGTTCTTGACGTAATCAAGCTCCTTCCAGAATGCCTCAGTACGGCCAGGGATACTGCAAATATTGCACCAAAAGGAGTTATTCTGATATGTACTCAGGATTATGTGTTTTACCAAGTATTACTTGGGTCCATAGAGTAAACTGATAAATATGCTAATGACACAAAGCATGTGACAAGAAAACTGCAAATAAACACAGTAAGAAGGTAGTAGGAGCAGAGTGCCACTCTGTTTTGTTCTTTAATTCTCTTCTGTTTAGAAGTTCAACGGGCATCCCATGCAGTCGAGCACAGTGCCAGAACTATGATGCTAAAGAATGCAAAATCTCATTTCAAGGTTCTCAACTCAATCTTTGACATATTTACTCCCACAAACCAAATACACAGAGAGAGAGAGGAACAACAAAATAATATTTTTCCAGGAATTCTCGAGAAAATGGTTTCTCCATTCTTACTCCCGGACATGGAGTAGAAATGAATTCTGCAACTAAGCTAACAGCAATGTACTACCAGAAGACCATCCAAGGTTTTTCAGTTCCATCTGACAAGCCAATAAATCCAATTCTCTATTAACAACCACAGCAGGGAGCTATGAACAGCATGAAAAACATGTTACCGCTGTAAGATTTATCTTTACAGCTGAATTCTATATAAAACAAACTCATGTGTAGCCACCTCTATCAAAAATAAAATTTTAATACTTGATTGATATTTGGACTAGTTGTACCATATTTACTTTACTGCAATTTCCAAACTGAATTGATCTGTTAAATAGAGGAAATTTGAATCATTTTGTTATTCTAGGCCTCAAATCTTGTAGCTATACAACAGAAGAGACATGCAAAAACAATACAATTCGTGTTTCTCTTTCTCTTTCTTTCTGGCTCAAACTTTTTGGCACTAGAAGAGAACTACAAAATTACTCGCCTACATTATGGCATTAGCCAGATTTCATTTTTCATATAGCATGTGTGTGACTAATATTTGGACACAGGTATGGGTTATGATGATCCTCCGTGTGTGTGTGTGTGTGTGTGTGTGTGAACTCCCTCAAGTCTGGCTAACATAGATTGTCACACGGGCTGACAAGCATGAAATCTTGTTTATGTGATAATGTAGGTGCAATACATAAATAATATGCTAGCGTACAGTAAGTAGTCAATTCAATGAAGGCAGATTCAGCAACTCGCTAATGAAATAAAAAAACACACATTCTGGCAACCAAGTTAATAAAAATCAGATGCTAAACAACATATTGCTATCAATTCATCAGAACTTGGAAGTCTTCATGGCAGTAACACGGGAGGCACAAACAACCAGAGGGAAGAAACAAATACCTGGCAAGTCGAGTGTAAAACAGCTGCTTAGACAATTCGTTACACTTCTCAACTGTTGGTGGTTCCTGAATGTATTGTTTGTTCTCCTCCAGCAACTGCTTGTAGTAAGCAGTTCCATTCCTGGCCACAAACTTCGACGCTTGACATGCCTTAGATTGCAACTGTTGCAATTTCGATGCCATCAAAATCTGCGCTATGTTGAACACAGAAAATAGTTATTAAGAAGAAAAACAAATTTCTTTTCTTCTCCGGAAATGACATACAAAGCACAATAGAACAAAAAAATGGGTACAATTGAGAAGTACGTGATACTAGTTAATTAAAACACAAAGAAAAATCAACATAAAAGAATCATCAAAATGGAAAATAAAACAACTGTGGATAGTGATCAAGCTCTAAAATCAAAAGATCTACGAATAAAAAGATAAGAGAATGCTGGCAAACGTTCTAAAACCAAGTAAATTGTAGATCTAAGCTGAGAAAGTGAATCTTACCTTTGATGAGAAAAAAATGGATATGAAAGAGGCGCGTTGTCAATTGAAGGCGAGGACGATAGAACGGTGAGGTGTGGACTGCCCTGGGCTTATCACGCTGCTTTACCTAAGCAGGAAGACCCACGCTTTCGGGATCAGTGGACTGCTCTTGGCTAATGAACCCGTTTTAGGGTTTTAATTCAGGTTCTATTTTTTATTTATGCAATTTACAGGGGTCATTTTGCAATTTCTGCCAATTAATTCACAGCGGTCATTTTGCAATTAATTGAAATATATATTGTGATCTTACTTGTCATGATGCCCGGAACACCTAATACTATTTTGATGATGATGAGTGGATTACATCTGTCTATCCTCTATTATCATTTTTAAAATATGCATAAATTAATACGGTTAAATGTTTATTATATTCTTATTAACAATCAGTTGATCTAATAGGATGAGATATTAGATCTTTTAAATAAAGTTAAAAGTTCGAATATTGACATTTGTGAATTGAACAAACTTACTTGAGAGAGTCATTTTCACAATAAACCTCTACAAAATTCGTTATGAAATAATCGATCAATAAATTAGATATTGTAATATTAAATGGGATAAAATTTAAATTTATTGATTACTATAATTATGATTTACACGTAATATTGGATTTACATGGTAAGTGATTTGTTTAAACATGATGATTTGACATAATGTGTTAATGATAACATTACTTTTGTCCTGTCTCTATTTATCGTGTTTGGTTCAGTTTAACATCACTGAATTATCATAAACTCATATTCCTACATTAAAGATTTGAAGAGTTCTCCGTACGTGCCCAAGGTTGTTTATAGTTAATAGTGGCATGAATAAATAATCTTCGCATGTTTAGTGATGACATTGGAACATAAAGGTGATATTGTAGCTAATATTTGGAAATAAGGTAAGTGAAGAAAGTAATTGAATTATGTCAATATGGATACTTGGATATATGCTTGAAATATAATAGCTTAAGCATGTAATACGTGAACAAATGGTACGAGTAGTATGCTTGAATGAATGCATGCATGCATGTTGAGTCTGAAGTACATGCATTAATGCATGGATAAAAATACATAACTGAGACATGAATTGATGCATGATGGATACGTGCTTGAAATATTGTAGCTTAAGCATGTAACATGTGAACAAATGATACGAGTAGAAGTATGCTTAAACTAATGAATGCATGCATGCATGTTGAGCCTGAAGTAGAAGCATGCATGCATGCATGCAGGGATAAAATTACATAAATGAGACATGAATAAGGATGGTACATGTTCTTTTCAAGAAATTGGTTCATCCCATCCTATCCCCATGTAGTACCAACCCCTTTCCCCCAACTAAACGGAAATGTATAGATATTGACAAGAGATATACAGAACCTGAAATATGGTATTGCAATATCCAGCAGAGTTTTATCTCCATTAATGATTGCTCATCATGTTCATCATGAATAAATTACAAGTCCTCTTTATATAACATACATACTTAACGATTCCTTTATGACTTACTACAAAAGAATGACTTAAATGAATCTATAAGTGAAAGCCTCTTGTCTGTATAGGAACTCCAAACCTGTGCACCCCTTAAACTACAAGCTTTGAAGAGACATCATGCATGTATTGTTACCCCTCCCTATATTCCTTCTGCTTCTATCCTTCTTGTACATTTTATTTTTCCAAAAAAGATTAACTAAATCCGTCCAATCTTTCTGGACACCCCACTTCATCAAATGTAATGCGAAACACGGGTTTTTATCGGTTTTAAATTCAAACCTGAGCTTTCCGGAGAGAGGAGCTCCGGTGAGATGCAAGATGGACTTAAGGGGCTCCTTGGACTGCCACTCAAATAGCAGGGCCTGTACAACCCATATCCCATGAAGAAGTACTCCATAGGTATCAACATTGCATGTGGCTGTTCTTCTGTCACCATTGATCCGCAAGCCTGCACCTGCACAAACAAGCATCTTACCCCCATTAGGCATAAATTTGACACACTACTTCAAGTACACGAAAATTGTCCGGCGAGCAGGCTGGTGCACTCTAATGGTATTTTCAGAGTAGGTGACAGACTATGCGATAATCCTGATTTGCAGATTATTTGGAATATACACTACTACATACTCAAATAGAGTAGCAAAATAGACAAGTATCATTCAACATCATATTAGCAATCAAACACAATAATCCCCTGTTACATTGGTAATTCCAGAAATAGTTCTACCTACCTCAACTAAGGCACTAAATCTTCTATCCAACTTGGATGCCATGTATACGGCCTCGGAATGAAACGGTGAGCTATCACCAACGATTATTAAGGTTCGACATCTGAGCCTCTTCAGCCCACTGGTAAGGTCAGGTCTCCTGCATGTTGGTGAAGTTTTGAGCACTTGAATTTCTTTACTTAATGTATAAAGAAAAATATGCAAAACATGAAGTGACAGTCCAATGTAGTTCAATTATTTTTGTATTGTACCCATTAATTGCTTGAAGAAATTGCATCACATTTGATCCATGCCTTTCATCTAGCAACTAAGAAAACAAAAAAGCCAGAGGAATGAGCCATGTTGACTTTAAAAATTCACTTTTTAAAAGGAAGAAACAAATAGAGAATCCAAATTCAGGAAATAAGAAAAATGAAAAAGAAATGCTTAAGCACTAACTCTTCTGCATGCTAGAACTATATCGGACTCTGGAACTTCTATATTACCGCGAACTTCCTGCTTCAATTTAAAGAAACCTCGTCATTCAACTTACTCTATAAGTCCGGATATAACAAGAAAAATAAAGAAACTTAAACGATAGATTAATGGGATGGAAATGCTAGGTACCTTGCTAAAGTAACGTTGAAGCAAAAGCTCTTTAAGCAATCCACACATTCCATAAAAATACAACAAATTTGACATCACCTACAGATTATACTTCATTTTAGCCATATATGAGAAATTTATGCATAAAAACCAACAGCCATAAGAAGGAACCTTGTTATAGAACCATTCAGTCCAAGAGGGTGCTCTGCAAAGAGGGGATATAAGTATCAACCCAAGAACACGTTTCCTGTATTTCATCTGCAACAGAAAAGCTTGGTCGAAAGAAATAACAAAAAAAAAGCATTTAAATAATACTATTCTTAGGATCCATTAGGAAACATACAGCAAATAGAGTAAGAATGTAAGCACCCGCTGTCACCCCCATGCACATCACTGCTCCAAGCCTGATGCAATCAGAAACTAAGTCATCTTAACTATGAAACTTTTGATAAAGACATCTACTGCTCTAAATGGGAAAAGAAACCCCTTCTCGACCAAAACAATGGCACTGGCTAAATCTAATAGCTTCTGCTGAAATGCCAAGTGAGTCGGCGTCAGCTAAGAAAGAGTTGTAAAATTACCCAAAATAGTTGAGAATCTCAAGGATCTGATCGGCTAAGTCATCAACACAATGTGCAGAAGCACTTGGACAAACAGGAGCAGCTCCCAACTGCAAGAACTCTTGTGAAAGTTCCAGAAAGGAAACAATGTAAATAATAGAATCCAAAAATTGATTTAACCTGCTACCAGGAGATAATATAAACCATATAAAACAGAAATAAGGCAAGTATGCATGTCAACTAATTTATAGACCTCGTGTCCAGGCGGACTAATATGGTAAATGCAGAAGTTGTGGAGCAGCAAGGAGGCCGATTCTGGACAAAAGAACAATCCTTGGAAACAAGAAACATCTGAAGGAAATTACAAAAGTAAGGAACATTAAAGCATATTTGGACATATACAACAACAAAAAGTACCATATAGATGTGCATGGATATACAAACTGAGTTGGTAACAGCATAAACCATGAAAGAAATAGCATGTATATTGCATAATTTGCAAAAGGAGAATATTCCCAAGTTTAGCAAATACATACGATTCAAAGCCAAATCAGGATATGTAATTAATGCCGGCTTGTCTTTGTCCCCATAAACTATAACAGAAACAGAACCACAGCGCGTCCGTACACGATGTTCCTGGAATTTATTTATTTTAGCAGATATTCAGATTTATACCAATCAAAATAGAAACAGTTAAGCGTATCAAACAATCATAGGAAAGATGCATTTGAAACTTTGAGTACCATATGTTTCCTAACTACGGATATAGTTATTAAAAAGGAATAGCTTTTCATTTAGGTAATTTGTTTCATGTGACTTAAAAAAATAGGAAAAGGAACTCCTAAATTATTCATCGAAAGCAATTCCCATGTCCAACCCCTAAAATAACTGAGTATTTCTTTGATATCAATCATTGAATTCTTCAAAAGGGATGATAGTCTAAAAGTAAATTTAAAGGTAGACGAATTTAATATAAAAATCAAGTGAAAAAATAAATGCAGCCATGGTTTCTTCAATGAACAGAAAAGACAAAAGTGAACAATCCCGAGCAATGAATGGCCGGAAGAATCCATCATCAAATTCTTTTTTCATTAGAAGCAACAAACTAAGAAGGAGAAATCTCCAAACCAATAAAAATTGAAAAGTTAAAGCTGATGAAGGCAAAGGTAAGAGCAACAAGAAATAACGTTAGAAGATTACACAATATCAGCAAAACAATCAAACACAGAATTCACATAATCTGTAAATATACAATCTGTAATTTTAACAGCTAAAAGTAAACGTCAAAAATATACAAACCAAGATGTACCATTCATGTAAATAATATACAAACCAAGATGTACCATTCATTCACCTTATATATATATATATAAAAGAAAAAATGACCAAATAAGGAATTTAATATAGATATTCTAATAACGGATATTTTTCTTAATATTGCAGAATTAACTTTAAAAGAAAATAACCAGAAAATGGATTCTTTCCCAAAAAAACTAAAAATCCAATGCAGTAATAAAAAAATGCAGAATAATAAACTGATAACAAAAATAAAAAGATGTGAAAAACGATTCAAAAATGGAGATATAGAACAACCATCAGAGAAAAAAAGGAACCTTTCCACCGAGATAGATCTTTTGAGTATCAAGAGGAATGGAATCGTTTGAGTCACCCATGGCTGTGGTTCTTTCTCTGTTATCTTCGAAACAGAGAAAGAAAGCCTTTTGTCTTCTTCTTTTTTTCCCGAGAGAAAACGGCTTTTCTCTCCCTACTTTCTTCCTCCTCCGGCTTTCCTGGCTTACAAATCAAGCGATCCTCCCTCTTCGAAAGCTCGTTCGTTCGTTCGCCCGCCCGCCCTTATTTATTCATTTTTTTAGCTTAAATTTATTTGTTTGATTGTTCAAAATTCAAGCGCTTAAAATTGATTTATATTTGTACTTAATTTTTTTTTAAAAAAAAAACTCAATTTAATATGATTTGATATGGTATTTTAACCATCAATTATATTATTTTTATTTTGTTAATATTGTATTATGAAATTGATTGATTGTTGAATGTAAAATGATAAAAGTATTAATTTTAGACAAAAAATATATCAATTTAAGAAAATTTATTGAATTCGTATATCAATTTATATTTATAACATTAAATTTGTATTTCTATAGTTGAATATTTTTTATATAATTATCATTATTCGATTTATTAATAGATTAATTTAGATTAAATATTATACATTGTGATTTCTTCCTAAACTTGCTTCATTCATAAATTTTATAATTCAAACCTCTGACGTTGTTTAAAGTATATAGTGAGTACTTATCTTACTAAACCAATTGATTATTAGTATACTCTCGTATAGCTTCTACGAAACGGGACAATCTCATGTGTTATTTTATGACTTCTTCATATTTGTGAAAGCAATCCCTAAAGTTCGTCCGACATTGATTTCATATAATCATTTGTAATTAGTGATGAATATTTAATTCAAATTCGACAGGTTTTGATATGATTCAATCTTATAAGATTGATTTTATAAAAATTAGGTTAGGATTGAGTTCGATTTTATGATGATAATACTTGACCCGACTCGAAAATAATAGTATAATTGACATTTATATATTTATGGATAATTGTTATAATACTTTATATATTTTTTCTAGCTAAGTCTTTATTTGACCTAATAAAAATGAAGATTATAATGTGTGTGTCGAGTCAAGTCGAATCGAGTATAAAAATTAAATTAGTATTCGAGTCAGTTAAATTTTCTTAAACTCGGATCAAATCATATGACTAGTGAAAATTATTATAGTACATAGATTACATTAACCATAATAAATATAATTTAGAACAACATCCGAAATTTAAATGCACCAAAAATCTAAGTCAATCAATCCCATGATTATCCCTATTGGTAACATGAACTGTTGCTAGAAAACTTCTGCATTCGGAACATAATTACATGAAACGTGAAACTCTCAACCCTTAAATCCAAAAAGAGACTCAAAAAGAAAAAAGGCATCTCCATTATTGTTTTAATTCTGTTGCTGTTAACAAAGCTTTGTCTGATTGAGAAGTCCTGAGTTGCCTTTAGTTGCTGCATTCCCTCCCAAATGACTGAATCATTCGGCACCCCTCTTTCTTCATCAGTGATCTCCAAAAGTTTTCATCAACTCTCATAATTTCCTCTGCCATTTTTCTCATCAAAGGCTGCTCTTCTTTTCTGGTTTTAATGGGAACAGCTTGATCCTTGGAGTGGATAATCATCAACAGCCACACGTCTTCGAATCTATCATAAAGCTTCTTTGATTATAGCTTTAGTAAAGGTAGTCAGCCGTGGCGTCCACCCATACAACTTTAGGTCCCACTCTCATAAAGAATGCCTTAATTGGGAGATTCTTGGATGCTAAATTCCAACCTACCTCTCTGTTTCTTTTGCTTCATTTCTTCTTCATATTTGCATGTTGAAATCCCAGTCCTTAAACTACCAAACTCTCTTCTGTAAAGTGCACTGTAATTGACTTATTATCTGTTTCTAATTAGGCTCTGTTGCATTTTTTTCTTCTTCTTGCCTGTGCAGATCTCTGATTGATTATTCGGCCATTTTTCATTGAATGAATCAATTCGCGTCGAAAACATATATAGAGGAATCCAACTATCTAATGGCCGGAAGTTTGACATTGTCTTGAATTAAAATGACATGAAGCTCACATGATTGATGTTGCCATGCCCTACCACAAACCCTTTGTCTTCATTCGTTAGTATTGTAGGGCTCATAGATTATGCCCTATCACACTACCAATGTGTCTTCCTGTGCCACATCAAAACAACACAGAAACAAGAGAAAATTCATTTCATGTTCCTGAACTAAATGCCACATTTCACAGAAACAAGAAAATGCTGATTACTGTCTCAAGTCCCAAGAGACAACTGCCTTAAAAAAAACTACTGTGGACTAAGCAATGGTAGGTTTTGTTAATCCCAAGTGGTGATAAAACAATTGGAAAAATCCCAATATCTTAAAGTATATTTTTGCTGTTTTCCATAGGAACTATTTTAGGGTGAAAATCCGGTCATTACCAGAACAAATGGAAGGTAAGGCACATGACCAAACCCTACTAACAAAATTCAAAACTAAGAATTCAGCTCCCCCCATTACCAACTCTCAACCTTCTGTCTAAAACAAAATGACCGAATCAGACTATTTCTATAATATAAATCTTTCGGTGTTCCATAATTATATTTGAAAACAAATTTAATCAAATATTTAAATTAAAAAAAAAACCATCTCTCTATATAATTACACGTGGTTTGGTATTAAACAATAAGTTTTATTATAATAAAATTATTTGATATATGTCTTATTTACATTTATATAAATCTTTTTTACACCAATGCATTATTTAGAGTTTATAGGTTAAGATTTGGGATTTATAGATAATATTTTAGATTTTACGATTTTAACATTAAGGGTAAATTATGTATTTGGTATGTTATTTATTATTGCATTTTTATTTTGGTCACTCACTCATTCTTTTAAATCATACATAAGGTTATTTTATGTTTCTATTTTGATTTGTCAGCCAAGTTTGACCATTGAGTAAAAGAAATTGATGATGTGGTTTGAGATAATAATAATTTTAATCCTTAAAATTTTTACATTTTATCAAATTGATCTTAATTTAAAATAATTCAATAAACCTTTAATATTTAAAATTTTTATCAAGTCGATCTTTATTTTAATTTAAAACATTTTAATGATAGTTTTTAAAAATAAAAATTAAATATATATTAAAAAATATTTAGATGATTAAAATAGAAATATAGAAACAAATGATATACCAAATAAATAATTTATCTCAAAATTGAAATCGACAAATTATGCTCAATATCAAATAACAATCCTTTATTATATAAATCACAAATTACATATATATCTTTTTGTAATTTTGTTGAAAGGTGGAGGATAAATATGTATAAACAATGACAAAGTTGACAAGAAAGGCTTGTTTCTTGTAAATTAGGCCAACCGCTTTGTTGCACTAAGAATCAAATTATTTTTCAAAAGATAAAAAGATCACGCAGTTTACATGACTAAAAGAAGGCAGCCTCAGTTTCTGTGAAAGAAAGCTGAGCTTGTTCTTACAAGTTACAATAACTGATATTTACATGTTCCTCTATTGCATCCAAAGCAGGCAAAGCTGTCTTTTAAGATAGAGAAAGAGAGACAGGGCTCTGTGAAATTACAGTTTTGACATGTCCTTTTTAGAGAAAGAAGCTTACTTGATTTGACAAAGTTACCTTGAAGTGCACGTCCCTGTCTGCTACTCTTTTTATTTTTTTGAAATCAAACTCTTCTGCTGGAAAGAGAGAAAAAAAAGCATCTTGGGTATTGTGAATCAGAAAAAAAATCCTATCTTTTTTTCGTCAAGAGTTTTGTTTGTTTGGGTTTTGATTATGGGGTCTTTGGAAGGTGTTTAGGGGGTTTAGTTTGTAGCTTAGTTTTGGAGATGAAACAGAAGGGTAGCTCAGATTTGGTAAGTAAAGCGGTGGTGGTGGCTGTTAAAGCAGCAAGGGAGATCCCAAGGACTGCTCTGGTCTGGGCTTTGACTCATGTTGTTCAGCCTGGGGATTGCATTAAGCTGCTTGTGGTTGTTCCAGCCCACTCCTCAAGTAACTTACTTTTCCTTTTTATCTTCTTTCACTTTTATTTGTTCATTCTTCACTTTTTTTTATGATGATTGAAATCATTGAGTAGATTTGGGTGATTAGAGGAGTCACCTAGCAGCAACCAAATATGTTGCCTTTTAATCTATTAGGAAGAGAAGTTTTTGGATAACTTACTTTGTATTGCTTTGGAAAATGAGATTGAGCCTTAAGACAGCAGTTTGAATAGATTTTAGAAAACTTGTGGTGAAATTGTTTGATGTTCCGTTATTCCTTTGTTGAACTTGGGGTGTTTGTTGGCACATAAGTCATAAAATGATAATATGCGAATGCGATTACCGGAACTGCATTGTTATATTCACTATTCGCTCCGTGCGGTTTGCTGATGATTACCTCATGCATTATCAGGTAAAAGGATATGGGGAATATCAAGATTTACCAGTGATTGTGCCACTGGTCATTGGAAGTCTCTCTCGGGAGCTACTAATTCGGATGCAAAACAAGATCTTGCAGATTCATGCTCCCAAATGATTTTTCAGTTGAAAGATGTTTATGACCCCGACCAGGTTTGTGGATTACTTTATTTTCAGATGCTTCTTTAGTTGTTAAATTCTTTGTTCCTGGAATTCAATTTTTAAGTTATGTTTACAGGTAAAAGTCAGGATAAAAATTGTTCCTGGATCGCCCTACGGAATAGTTGCTACCGAGTCCAAGAAAGCTCAATCGAACTGGGTTATATTGGATAAGTAATATATACAATGTAAACTTTGTTCTTTTGCATGATATATCACATTCTGTTCTTTAGCTCAAGGCATGCTCTTTTGTTTAGAGGACTGCATTATCATGTTCTGTAACTTCGTTTACTTCAGTTTCCTTTCGATTCTTCTATTTATGTTCAATCAATTATTGTTGTTGTTGCTTTTGAATCCTTGCACAGACACTTAAAGCATGAGAAGAAACATTGCCTGGAAGAGCTGCAATGCAATCTTGTGGTCATGAAGCGATCTCAGCCAAAGGTTCTTCGGTTGAATTTGGTCGGATCACCGAACATGGCGCCTCAAGTGGCTTGGCCATCATCTTTTGAATCAGAAACATATCCTAAACGTAGGAAAAGCAAGCACGATCCGTTAGATGAAACTAAAGGTCCGTTTGTGACTCCGGTTAGTAGTCCTGAGCGGGAATCATCCCTGATCACTACTGATATCGGAACTTCATCAATATCAGGCTCAGATCCAGGAGCGTCACCATTGTTGCTCCCGGGGGTATATGAAAGTTTGAAGAACGATTATTCATTTATCACCGAGGAAAGACAAAGTCTGTTTGACTCTGATTCGGGCTCTGAAAGTGAGCTAGATCCTCTTAACACCAGATCCTCTTTCCCTCCATGGATGTCTGACATTCGTGGTTCTAGCACCGACTCTAAGCTTCTTGGCAAGGATTTACGGAGACTGAATGACTCATCTCTAACTTCAACATATAACATTTTGTTGGAGAAATTATCTATCTTGAATTCAGAACCTCATGTCGGGGTCCTTAATTATAGGCTCGATCTGAAGGTCAGCAAAAGTGTGAGGGAAGCTATCTCACTCTCAAGGAATGCTCCTCCTGGACCTCCTCCATTATGTTCGATATGTCAGCACAAGGGACCCGTGTTTGGGCACCCTCCAAGGTGGTTCGCTTATGCTGAACTGGAACGTGCTACAAATGGCTTTTCGCAATCAAACTTCTTGGCTGAAGGCGGATTCGGTTCTGTTCATAGAGGGATCTTACCAGATGGTCAGGTGATTGCTGTGAAGCAACATAAGTTCTCTAGCTCTCAAGGTGACCGAGAATTTTGCTCAGAAGTTGAGGTGTTAAGTTGTGCACAGCATCGGAATGTTGTAATGCTGATCGGATACTGCATTGAGGATGGAAAAAGATTGTTAGTTTACGAGTACGTTTGTAATGGGTCTCTGGATTCTCATCTTTATGGTAAGTTCACTTCTATCCTAATTCAGGTTATTGCTCGCTGATACATATGCATTTAATACAACATTTAATCGGTGGATAAATTTGGTTGAAGTGTATACAGTCACTGGTCGTTACCGTCTTTAATGGAAAAACACTGCTTAGTCCTTGAACTTGAGCAAGCTGTCTATGAGTCTGATATGTACCTTGTCCTTCACGATCATTGATGATTTCTCCAAATAGGCAACTTAATTGAGATATGGGAAATTTTCAGGGAATAATCATGATACATTGCGATGGTCTGCACGACAAAAGATTGCTGTTGGAGCAGCTAGAGGATTGAGATACCTTCATGAAGAATGTAGAGTTGGTTGTATTGTACACCGTGATATGCGGCCCAACAATATACTCGTCACCCACGATTTTGAACCTTTGGTATGTCAAATCTTCTAAGTTGTTCGTCAACAAAGTTTTAATTTTCTCCTGATCAGCTGTTTGTTCTTCTTCATGCTCGGCTCATTCAAGTCCGAATGGTCTTCTTTTTGTATCAAACTTTGGGCACATATATCATATGATAAACTGTGAGCTAACTATTGCTTCTTGACCATATAGGTTGGAGATTTCGGATTAGCAAGGTGGCAGCCAGATGGAGACAGGGGAGTGGAAACTAGAGTGATCGGACGATTCGGGTACGTAATAGCTTTTTAATTCCTTGCTACTTATATTATCTAGCAAGGACAAACTTATTCAAGAAAACACCCTTCTTGGTAGGTACTTAGCTCCAGAATATGCACAAAGCGGCCAAATCACAGAAAAAGCTGATGTCTATTCCTTTGGGGTGGTAATGGTCGAGCTGATCACAGGACGAAAAGCTATGGACATCAGTCGGCCAAAGGGACAGCAATGCCTCACAGAATGGGTGAGGGTTCGATTATTTTAGATTACAAACTTGTAGAAATTGTCTGAATTGATTTTCTCATCGATTCAAATTTGGAGTAGGCACGCCCTTTACTAGAACGTCATGCCATACGGGAACTTGTCGACCCCCGCTTGGGGAACAGCTACGTAGAGCAAGAGGTTTACGGCATGCTGCAATGCGCTTCCTTGTGCATCAGGAGGGACCCTCATACAAGGCCTCGGATGTCTCAGGTTGGAAAACCAGAAATTACATAATAAAAATCCCTTCCTGAACACATTTATTTTGTCATCATTGTTTCAATGATTATTGAACTCTGAAGAGAACTTCTAGGCCTGCACTTGTGTATGTCGAACTTATAGTTTCGTGTTTACACCGTGAAGTTACTTCGGATGTTGGAGGGGGATGTCATCACAAACTCGACTTTCGATGCATGAATTACTGGAGATTGTTACAGTGCATCCGACGAGCTGCCGAAGCTGTTAGATTGAATATCAGCATCATGATCTTGGCAGAAAATATTGGTAGCGTACAAAGAGTAGATAGACAGTTCACTCTTGAATATTGAACCGAGGCAAAAATTATTTGGAAATAATGTCACCCTTTTATTTTATCTATGGTATAGATTTTATTTTAAGGTCACACTCATATAAATGTAAAATTTGAGTGACTATTTTGTAAATTACATTAATATTCTCCTTTTGGCCTTTTTTTAGAATTCATAATGTTATTTTCTATTTGTTTACTTTTTGTGTGCCTTTTATCATTATTTGAAGCCTTTGTTTAGGTCGCTTTTGCATTTTTTTTAAAAATTTTGGATTGTAGGACTAATGTATTGGATAAATTAGGAATTGATATTTGATTCGATTTGGACGAATTTCAATCTAATCTAATAGGGTTGAATTTTATCTTAAAAGTTTGAATTCAAATTGGATTAGACTTTCTGAAGGATTAAGTCGGGAAAAATGTATGGCTTGATTCGAAAATAATAGTATAATATACTTTTATATACTTGATATAACTATTATAATATCCTTTTTGTATATATTTTTTCAATTAGGTCTATATTTTACCTAATAAAAAATAAAAATTTATATATTTGTGTCGGATTAGGTATAAGTTTTTATCTAAAAATTGAGTCGGTCGAGTTTTGAATTATATAAAGTAATCCTAAATTATGGTTAGGTCAAAAATATACGGAGGAATATTATACTTAAATCGAGTTTAAAAGAGTTAAATATTTAATTTAATTCAATTTAATTTAACTGGATGAATAAATTTTAAAAACTAAAACAAATATTATACCTATTTGATATTTTTATGTCGTAAAGTCTAATTGTTCAAGTTAACATTAGATAATCAAAATATAATCTAATATTAAGTATGATTTAGAAAAGAGAAAATAACCTCAGTTACTAAAAATGCCTTATAATATACGAATTTAATCAACTTTTTTTGGATTTGCCAAAATGACCAACAAATTCGCAACGCGAATATGTATGTAAATCGCATTGCGATTTTTTAAATTCGCGTTGCGATTTTCCAAATTCGCGTTGCGAAAGTCAAATTCGCAACGCGAATTTGTAAATCGCAACACAGAAGTCAATTTCGCAACGCGAAAGTCAAATGTTTTTACGCAAAACACAATATTAATTTCGCAACACAAATGTAAATAGTATTATCGCAAATCATCTCTAACCTAAAACCCTAAAGCACAACTCAGTCTCATCTCTATCTCTCACTCTCTACGGCGACATCCGTCCCCATCTCCGACGAAATCCGTCCCCATTTCCGACGAAATCCGTCTATCTCCATCTCTCAGATCAACCCTCACAACCATTCACGGTCAGAAATGGAAAATCAACCACCGAGGGTTAGTTTTTTAATCTCTTATTTTTATTTTGAAATTTTTGTATTATTATTAGATTAACAATTTCACTGAGATTGCTAAATTCATTCGGTTGATGCCAATACTGCTAAACTGTTTAGTCTTTAACCCTGTGAAGTTAGTATTTGTCTTTGTTTTGTCTTTTTTTTTCTTTTTGTTGAAGAAACCCTAATTCGCAACACCAAATTCGCAACGCGAAAATGAAAATCGCAACACGAAACTAAAATCGCGTTGCGATCTTCATTTTCGCGTTGCGAATTTAAGTTTCAGAAACTTCTTTTATTCTGCAAATTGAAACTTGAATGAATTGCATTACTTCAACCAAAAAACAAAGACAAATATTAACTTCACAGTGTTGCTAATTTAAGTTTCAAGAATAAACTACTACTCTTTATGTTATCATTGAACCTGCACTAAACCTATATATTGTCCTTTTAAATGTTTATATAAGTGTTTACTTCTAGAATGTTATCTGATGCATTTTGTGAACTATGATGGAATAATGACTTGGGTGAATATCGTGCTAGTTTGAAACATATTTGGCTTTGTTTTCACTGTTTAATATCATGTCTGTTTGTAGTGTATAATTTATAGTTTTTGGTATATCTAACTTGGTATGTTTATTGTTTTTGTAGAAATTTTTTTCGGCTCAATTAACCTTAAGGAATAAATTAAGCATAGCCACTAAAATTGCGTCGACGCTTACACCTCTACAAATAAAATTGTTTGAGGATACTTGCTTCGGACCATGGCTGAAAGTACAACATCCGGGTGGAGATGCTATGTTGACACATTTGTTTCTTCAGACCATGACTAACGATCTACCCAAGGGGGTACAACGTGGTGATGAAGAGATATGGTTTCATTTTCCTCCGGCACCGGCGTATACTTGTTTTGGGTGGGAGGAGTTTTGCTTAATCACCGGTCTACGCTTCGGACACGATGATGTAGGTCGGTACACTAGTCATATCGCCCGCTCATCATGGTTATATCAGGTTTTTCCTGAGCTGGCAAAGTCGAAGCCGAGTATACATGTCGACGACTTGAAGAGATTATTTGATAAAGGTGGTTTTACTCGGATGGATGACCTTGATGTTGTCCGAGTATGCCATTTACTACTTTTGCATGCCGACTTTTTAGGCAAAGATGGCAGACAACCAATCTCCGAGGACCTAATATTATTGGTAGAAGACCTAAATGCATGGAACCTGTTTCCGTAGGGTTCATATATATGGAAAGCTACCTGAAAGAAGTTGTCGTATGCCTTCGAGGACCGAAAAAGTTTGCGGGGCGATGGTTCTAAATACACTTTGACAGGCTTTACTTGGGCCTTTAAGGTAAGAATTTCTATATAATGTTTCCAAAATTATAATTAATTATTTAACAATTACTAATGTTTTTGTATTATATTGTTTGTATATTTGGATATTTGAGGCTTTCCCCAGCATGCGGACATATGCGATAAAAAGATCAAATGATATTCCTAGGGCTATTACCTGGAAGAGGATATGCATGTTGGATTGGGAAGACTTACTCTCATATACGACGATTAATGATGTAAGTTAACACATAAACACTACCATATGTAAACAAGTTATTACTAGTACACGTTTAACTTTTTTTGAGCTTTTATATTGTTAGGAGGCCAACTACCCATTACAGAGGCTGACACCCTCAAATGCTGAGCTTGCCACTAATTGGTGGAAAGCTAGTAAGCGGTTTTTTGATGGGACGGATGATGAGCACCCCCCACTTCGGGAGCCATCACCTCATCGGACCGATTCTATAGCTCGACACCCGGAGCCATCACCTGGTCGAGCCTCTTCTCCACCTCCACCATCACCTATTCTATCACATCATCGAGTCTCTTCTTCACCATCACCTCATGATAGGCGACCGGCAAAGATGCTCCGTCTATCTCCATCTCCCTGTTCTCCACCTCTACGGGATGAGTTAGGGGAATTACGTGATGAGATTGGTGTTTTGCGTCATGAGGTCGGTACTTTACATGAAGATAATGGTGCATGGCGTGATGAAGTTTGATCTTTACGTGGTGAGGTGGATTTTTTACGCGATGACAATGGTGCGCTACGCGGTGAGGTATCTACCTTACGTGATGAGGTTGTCGCTCTACGCGAGATTGTTTCATTGTTACAGAATGAGGTTAATACTCTACGCAATGAGGTAAATTTGCTTAATACTATACTAAAAATGCAAATAACTTTTTTTCGGCATTATTTATTTATTTATTTATTTACTGATTTATATATTAATTTATTTTCAGCGGCCCATTAAGGTAGATGCTTTACGTCGGGTTTTTCTTGCACGACAGGGTTCACGCATCAGACGTCGTGCATGTGCCATTACGTCTCTGTTCACCCAACTAGTGCCAAGACTCCGTAAGAATAAGCCCGATGCACCTATCATCATTCAAGAGGCGCCTCCTATCGTTCAAGAGGCCCCTATCATCATCGAAGAAGCCCCTCCCACCGTTCAAGAGGCTCTTGTCATCGTTCAAGTGGTCCCGCCCGCCATTTAAAAGCCCGATTCATTTGGCGTCATATGTCGACATATTGATAAACCACCTCCCGGGCCCGATATGATGGATGCGTGTTGGTTTTCGTATGAGTTACCGGCCAGTACCATTCCTCAGCAGGAGATGGAAACACTACCGGACACAATTACGGATAATACCCTTTGGGCTAAGATCGCAGTTGATTTTTATCTACATGAGCGGAGCAAGGGGTGTTATTCTGACCTATGCAAAATCGACGATGCTATTCATTTGTTTCTTAATCGGTCTTGGTAGGGTATTTTATTAGGGGTTGAAGATAATGGCTACCTCGAAGGGGGGTAAGTATTATATTCTTATTATATTGTATTTTGATTAATTTTTTTAAATTATTAATAAATTCATTAATATATATATATATTTTATAAAATAGCATATTGATGCATGGGTGTCACGTCTTCTAATAATAAGAAAATTGAAGAAAAGAGGTATTCGATAGACTATTATGCCGACGTCTTTTCACGCAGCTCACTTGAAAGATCAGAGAGATGCTTCATATAAGTTGGCTAATGGAAAAGCTAAACTTTATCCTGCGTGGTGGGAGGTCGATAAGGTTAATATTTATTTTTTGAATATTTTAAAGGTTTTCATAAATTTTATTTGATGTGCGCAATTATTTATGATTGCAGGTGTTTATCCCTGTTTTGGAACATCGTCATTGGCTTCTCGTCGAGCTTCAACTCCCATCCCTGAAGACAGTGGTATATGACAGCATGTTGAATTACATACCATTGTCTGATTTGAGAGATATTATTACAAAGAGATGGAGCGATCATTTGGCTAATTATTTGAATGCGATTGATTATTGGACAAAATCTGGAAACAATAAGCCAAAGAAGTTCAAAATTATAATGATCAGATACGAGACTGTACCACAACAAATGCAGGGAGCCAGAGGAAATTGTGGTCATCTCGTATGCTTGTGCTTGGAACGTTTGGCGACAAGAAGTATACAATATTTACCTCCTACAGATAGAGATAGAGCTGCAGTAGGCTTGTGGTTTCGACATTATATGGCCAGATCGATATATACGAGACACTGCCTACCTGCATCCGCGTGCTGAAAGTTGTACATAAACAATTGGTAAGTTTGAATTCAGTACTCTTAAATTGGTTTGAAAATATTTGGTTAAGTACCTAGAATTCAGTAATTTGTTGTTTGTTGGTTTTAGATGTGTAGAAAGTGTTGTTTGAGCAAATGTTTGGT